GTGTGTGTGTGTGTGTGTGTGTGTGTGTGTGTGTGTGTGTGTGTGTGTGTGTGTGTGTGTGTGGAGGGGGGGAACTGCACATTCGCGGTACAGCTGTGAGTACATGCTGCCGTTGACCACAGTGCGCTCTGTTTCTCTTCCCAGCATCCCAGTGTAATGTCAGCCTAAAGAAACAGAGGAACCGTGGCATCCTCAGCTCCTTCTTCTGCTGCCTCCGTAACTATAATGTGGAGGCCCCGCCAGCCAGCAGCCCCAGTGTGCTTCCCCCGCTGGTGGAGGAGAACGGAGGGCTTCAGAAGGTCAGTTCTGATGGCGAGCTGTGCACTCCGCAAAACTGCTAAGAGCCTGTGAAAGCACGTGTGCAGCCATTTACTTCAAGATTTGAAATTACAAAAAAAGCCATCTTTTCGTCAAAGGATAGCTCAGTCATTTCCATGTAGCAAATAAAGGACCTAATTGATGAGAGTTATAAGAGCCACTTCACATTGTTATATTCTCTCTTGGGAAGTTGAATACATGAATAGAGGTAAAGAAGCATTAGCAGACAAAGAAGTAGAAAGACAAAAAGAGAAACAGAGACACGGGAATGAGCCAATAATAAATATAAATGACTTGAACTACCTTGTTTAATAACAAACATTTGTTATGTATTCTTTTATACATATCAAATAAAAAATTTTAAGCAAATTGTCACAATGGTGTAAAAAAAAAAAATTCTACCCACGTGCTGTCTACAGATATATTCTAAACGAAGTGACTCAGAACAGTTAAAAATAAAAGGATGAGCAAAAAGACATTCTACAACTATAAGCAAAAAGAAAGGGGTTATGATATTAATTCAGTCAAAATAGAATTTCAGGTAAAAATCACTGAAAGAGGCAAAGAGGATTATTCGTTATGAAAATAATCAAGATTGAAGACACAAAAGTCATAAATCTTTTCCAGATGAAATGAGCGAAGGACATGAACAAGCATTTCACAAAATAAGAAATAGTTTGTCAATAAACATGAAAAATTGTTCAATATGGTTAGTAGTCAAATGCACACTGAAACAATGAGATGTCCTTTCCCATTACCAAATTATCAAAGATGTTTTTAAAGATAATATTTGCATTTGGCATGGAAGTCATGAGAGGGAGGGTAAGGGATATAAATTGGTTATTGGTAGGAGTGTTAATTGGTTACACCTTTCTGTAACTAATTTCTGAAGGGAAATTTGGCAAATGATCTTAAAACCTTAACAGTATGCCTATTTGTTCACCCAAGCAGTTCCAACTTAGTGACATAACTGTGGATGTACAAAAATTTAATGGTAAGATATTAGCCAGGATAAATTATTATATTGCAAAATTGTAAGCAACCTGATGATCAACAATAGAGAATAAAAGACCTATAGAATAACTATATAATCAATGTAGCTATTAAAAATAACATCTCATGAATATCACTAATATAGGGAAATATTCACAATGTATCACTTTGGGGGGGAAAAAGGCTAAAATATAGTAGGTGGGTACATTTGTAAGTATGTATATAGTCATACACAGGCATTTATAAGACTAGAATGATGTGTGAAGTCAGACGATTAAGTTCGCGAACTCACCCTAGAAAAAGTGCTACATACCTCACTGCTGAATATCACTATGTCACCTTTGAAGTACTCCCCTTGGGAAGCTATGCACCAACACCAGTGCCTAGTCCGCCCTTCAAAGCAGTTTTGGAACTCTTTTTGTGGAATGGCCATCAGAGCTGTCGTTGTATTACCCTTGGTGTCCTGAATGTCATCAAAATGTCTTCCTCTCAATATTTCCTTTATCTTCGGGTAAAGAAAGAAGTCACTGGGAGCTAGATCAGGTGAGTAGGGAGGGTGTTCCAATACAGTTATTTGTTTACTTGCTAAAAACTCCCTCACAGACAGTGCCGTGTGAGCTGGTGCATTGTCATAATGCAAGAGCCATGAATTGTTGGCGAAAAGTTCAGGTCGTCTAACTTTTTCACACAGCATTTTCAGCACTTCTAAGTAGTAAACTTGGTTAACTGTTTGTCCAGTTGGTACAAATTCATAATTAATAATCCCTCTGATATCAAAAAAGGTTAGCAACATCCATGCAACAAGTTTGTGAACTTAATTGTCAGACCTTGTATACCAAAATATGAAGAGATTATCTCAGACTGGTGGAATTATATATAGGATTTTCCCCTCTACTTTGTGTTTTATTTTTCTCTTTTTCTTCTTTTACCTTTTCCCAATTTTCACAGAATTAGCTGAAATTACTTTTGTGATTAGAAAATAAATGATTTTAAAAGTACATATGAATGTAAGGAAGGGGGTTCTGGGAAAGTGACAGCCTGAGCACATGGCTCCGACCATTTAAATTCCCTATCCAGAGAAGCACAAGTGAGCCTGCTGGTGGAACCTGGAAAGTGCATTAAGACCTCCTGTTTTCCTAACATCTTCAGGGAAAAGAACAAGCACAGGATTCATTCTCTCTGGTACTCAGTGAGAAGCTGCCAACAGGAATAAGTTTGCCTCTTTGGGAATCCTAGGAAAAGACTTAAAACGCATAGTCCTGTGAGGTCAACCAACCAGCAGGAGCCCGTGGGCCCACTTGATGTGTGCGGTCCTTGGAGGGGCTGTACTGATGAGCTGAATTGCTTTCGGTCCTGGGGCCCTGGAGGAACCTAGGAGTGCAGGGACTTCCTTCATCACTTGTTTGTCAGCTTGGGCTCTGCTGGACCGTGAAAACAGCACTCCATGCTGGGCCTTGCAGTGCTCCCCCATTTGCCACTGCCGAGGAAGTCCAAGATGAAAAATGAGAATATTAGACTCCTACTTGAGGTAAAGCTAATGGAAGAAATAGAAGAGAACTTTAACAGACAACTCGGGGAATGATATTTCAGGAAATGAGTTTTGAGTACAAAAGTAACTTTTAGAACTTAAAAAAAAAATCCCATGATTTCTAAATATAAAAATTCAATAAACAAACTGCGAAAAAGGAGAATGAGAATGGTCACTGCTGAGAACTGAATTCATGTTCTAGAAGAGCAAATGGAAGAAATATCTTATAGTTCAGACCAGAAGCAGAGATGGTAATTGTGAGGGGGCAGGGGTAGGAGGAGAGGCTTCTAGGAGACCTAACAGGCAAATAATAGGAGTTCCAGAAAAAGTAATAGAAGACATTTTTCTTGAGCTGAAAAAAAGCTTGAATGTGCAGATCAAAAGGATTTACCAAGCCTACAGCAGAATTAGTGGGGCAAGCAGGGGAATACCACAGGCCTAGATGTATGTGGTTGACATTCTGAAATTTAGGTATGAAGAAAAAAATCTTAAAAGCTACCAGAACAAGTTATTTTAAAAGAAAAGAGAATTATACTAGTACCAGACTTCTCACTAGCAATACTGAAAGCCAGAAGAAGACCGTGGAAAAAATGTTTATAGGCTACTGAGAGACAAGCATTACAAACCAAAAATGTGTGACCAAGATATCAGTTAACTATTATGGACAAAGAAGTATGTTTTCAGACATATAATGATGCAGAGAGGGAGCCCAAAAAAAATCTGGGTGAGACTGATATTCAATTACAACATAATTAAAGAAAATGTAGGAATGAAATGACTATTAGGAATAGAACTATAACAAGTAGCACAATGAGAAAATAGATCCTCAAAATTCACAGGCAGTGAAAGGGGAAATAAACAGAAATGTGAACAAGCCATCAAATAAGGAAATGGAAAAAAGAACAAATAACATAATAAGTAGTAAACCTCACATAAAGAGTAGGCATAAAACCAAGTTTAATGAACCAAATTCTCTTAATGAAAGACCAAGACTATATCAGATTGGCTTGACATATTTGGCTGTATGTGTTGCCAAGAATATACCTATATCAGATAGGAATGATTTTGGCAGCAAGTAAAAGAAAACTGACATAATAGCTTAAACAAATAGGGGATTATTTTTGTCACATCAGAAGCCTGAGTCTGGCCATTGCTAGGGTGAGTTTGGGTGTTTGATGAACCCATCGGGACCCAGACTCTTTTTGTTCTTCCGTCTTTTCATCTTTCTGCTCCACCATCCTTGGCATATTTGTCTTCATCCACGAGCTTGCTGTTTATTATCTCAAACTCACAAGCTTCAGATGTGATATCCACATTGAAGGGAAAAAGAGAGGGGTGAGTTAGCCATGTCTGTCACTTTAATAGAAAGTAACCCCTCTCACAGAAAATGCCAGGAGACTTCTGCTTATGTCTTATTGGCCAGAACTTTGTCACATGGCTACCCTTTAGCAGCAAGGGAGGCCTGAAAGGGAAAGAATTTAGACCAGCAAATTCCTGCCCTTAACAAAATCGGAGCTCTTTTCACAAAGAAGAAAATAGGAATGACTACTGAACAGCTGTACTAGTCATTGTGGGTTCAGTTGTGCTGCGGTAACATGCCCCAAACCTCAGAGGCTTAAAACAATAAAAGTTTATTTTTCACTCATGATGCATGTTTGTCATAGGTTGCCTGGGCCTTCTGCTCTGTAGCACAATTCAGTAGAAATATAGTGTGAGCCATATAATGTAATTTAAATTTTTCTAGTAGCCTCATTTTTAAAAAAACATTTTTAAGATAAATTAATTTTAATATATTTTATTTAACCTGATCTATCCAAAATATTATTTCAACATGTGAACCAACAGAAAAAACATTCATGAGATAAAGTTTATTCTTTGTTTTTCTTACTAATTCTTCAAAATCTGATGTGTATTTTACATGTATAGCACATCTAAGTTTGAACTACCTGCATTTCACATGCTTAGCAGCCACATGTGACTAATAGCCATTGCTATTGGATTGTGTAACACTGTTTTATCCTCATTCATGTACCTAGACTGAGGAAGGCCCATCTCTGCTTCCATGATTGTCACAGTAGGGAAAAGGGAATGTGGCAGTCACACTGGCTCTTAAAGTTTTCACTCAGAAGTGATATGCCTCGTTTCAACTTACATTATATTGGCCAAAGCAATTTACATGACTATCCCTAACTTCAAGGGGCACAGAAGTGTAATTCTACCATGTGCTGAGAAGAAAACTGGAAATATTTGGTGAACTGTGTTATTGACTATTACAATAATTGGCCAGTAGTTTCTGACCCAACATCTAAGATGCAGTGATTATTAAAAGGTGGAAAATAAAATCTACAAAGTATTATAGAACAAATAAAAACCAAAAGTGGCAATAGTGATATCAGACAAAACAGAATTCAAGGCCAAAAGCATTAAACGGGAGAAAGAAGGACATTTTATAATGATAAAATGTCTAATACATGAAGTGTATAATAGCCATAAACCTTTATATACTAATCAACAGTACAGCCAAATACATAGAAGAAAACGATTTAAACATGTTTAAAAAGCTATCTTGTAAAATGACTCGTAAACAACCAACAACATAGAAAAACCATTGGCAGCTTCTGGCTAATGTAATAAGACAAGAAAATGAAATAATTGGTACAAACATGGAAAAGGTACAAAATTAGTTTTATTTGTAGATGACATGATTATTTATATAAAAAAGCCCAAAATACTCCAAAAAATTAGAATCATTAAAAGTTTTGATATGGTGGCTATTACTTATGGAGAAATGTGCTGTGTTTCTGAATAGGAAGACTTAAAATTCATGTGGAACAAAAAATGTCTAAGAATAGTTGAGAAGTTTTTGGAAAAAGAATAATGAAAAATGACTTGCCTTAACAGATATTAAACCTTACTTTCCACCGGTGTAGAGGAATACAGCAGTGAAATTTGTATAATGAGATTCCACCGTAAACCCTAAGGTAGCCTCAGGTTCTGACATCTCCCCTCGGTGTGCTTTCCTCATACTCTCCCTCCCTCAATTTAAAAACCATTGCTGTAGAAAATCGCCATTAGTGAAGGGAACTTAGTTTGTACCCTAGACCTGTAGAGGATAAAAAAAGAGAAGAATTCCTGCTGTCATAATAAAAGTTACTTTAGAATGGCATCTGCCTAGATGAAATGCCATAAGAAGATGGTGTTGTACCCCTGGAAGGTTCCCTGGAGTATTTAGCTGTACGTATCAGAGAACAGAGTCCAATAAAGGCAGTTCCTCAGGCAGAGCCGAGCTCACCTAGATTAGTGTTCATGCATCGATCTCCTTCAGTTAACATGTGTCAAAATGGCTTTTGAAAGAATGAAGGTCGCGCTGAGTAATGCATCATTTATTTGCATGACACTTGATTGTTCAGTCCGTGAGACTCCACGGAAAGAGCCCGTGTTAGAGTGAAGCAGCTGATTCCCAGAGGAGGACCCCCTGCCCTTAGCTCTCAGCTTGGTCAGGACACCTGAACACAAGCCCAGGCCCATTAGATGTGGGAGCAGGTTCTGGGCCTGTCTCATCTGCTGACTCCCCAGCTCTCCCTTCCTCTGGGAACTCAGCACACCTGCGGAAGAGGGAAGGCTGTGGACCGCTGCAGCAGACGGCCTCAGGCTCCCATCCATCCTGCGTATTTACTTTGCCCTGGAGAAAAGCAGCAGTATCTTGGAGGGGCAGCCCTTGCCACCATTGCAGTTACACCCTGGACCTGCAGGCCAGTTGCCCAAAATAAAAGTGTCTGCAGCCCTTGGCCAGAGGCTAGGAGGAGTCAGCATCTAGAAGACCCCAATGGCAGAGACCATGGAGGACTTTGAAGGATGATGATAAAATAAACAAGGTTGCTGGACACTCACTAATGTGTGCATACCTCGTGTGCGAATGTGTGTGCGTGCGCGCGCACACACATGCACACGCGCACACACACACACCCTCTAGGGTAATTTTCTAGCCCAAATATCTGTCTAGAGTAGCACCTTTGGTCATGGTCTGTGTTTTATCAAGCCCATCAGATAGTTATGCTATCTCTCCCATCACTGCTGTGCTCATCTCGTGTGAAAGTGCACCTGTGCGTAGGGGCTGTTGGCAGTCTCCCACAGGCTCCGTGTTCTCAGCTGGAGGCAAGGGAGCATTTGACAACATCTGGAGACAATTTTGATTGTCATTACTAGGAGATCTAGTGGGTAGAGGCCGAGGATGCTGTTAAGTAAGCATTCCCCAATCTCTAAGACAGCCCCCCACGGCAAAGAGTTTTCAGGCCCAGAGTGTCAGTAGTGCTGGGGCTGAGAAACCCTACTCTACAATGACCCAACTTGTTGAGGCTTGTGAGCTTCTGGTGAAAATCTCCCCCTGCCAAGAGCAGTGATGTGCTCCCAGGTCCAGGTGCTAGGAATACTATTTAAGAGCTTCTGAAATGAACTTCTCTGTATACTCGTAAGTTCTCGAAAACAGATTGGCTTTGGTTGGGCCATCCTGTTGGAGAGCAACACAGCTTTGCCTTGAGTAATGGATGGCAGAAGGCAGTTTAGAATTCTTAAGAGAAGCCCCCGAGTGTCCTGAAAAGCAAAGAGCCATCAAGATTATCTCAAGAGGAGCAATAGTTGCTGTTACACTGCAGAGGGGTTGACGAGGGGCTGGAGACAATCAAGAAGTTGCTAAATGGTTCTTAGCGTCAGAGCAGAGCTCGGAAGGGAGCCAGCCCCCTGTTTCCCTGTGGACAGTCAGGTTTGGCCCCTTTCTATGAGGCTCCTGTCACCAGTGATCCCCCCTCAATAAAGGTGGATACACTTTTCACAAATCCTTCACTGTGGGAGACGGTGAAACAGTGCATCTCCTTATTGGGAACCTGCTATTCATTGCCTCCCATCTCACCATCTGAAAAGGCAGCAGCAGCAGCAGCACAGAAACTGGAAATGCTCAATGGAGATAAATTTGTTCTTTTATTAGCATTTCTTAATGATGCTAAAATGAAGTGTTTCCATCAACCAAGTTTGGAATAGTGAGAATTCCAGGCTGAGGAATGTTAGAGGCCCTTCCTGGGGGCCTGAATATCCTTAACACTCCCTGTGAATACAGGTTCCGTTCCCATTAAAGGGAAAGCTGTCCCCATGTCCGTGGCCTCAGAGGGCACTTGTACCTCGCCTTGTCCCCTCTGCCCAGTCCTCCCCTACAAGAGGACCAAGAGTGACCAGGGGGGTCCTTGTAATCTGATGAACTTGTCTTCCTTTCCCTGCCTCCCGTATAGACTTAAGGCTTAGTCTTTTTAGGGAAAAACTTATACTTAAAAGAAGAAACAAGCCAGTTATTAGAAGGATTCTGATCCTTCTAAACTAAAATATGGGTTTTCATTTTTATTTTTCAATTAAGGACTAAATTCCTGGGCCTAAGGGAGGCACTATGCAAATAAACAAGCTAATTAATGAGCCTCAGGAGTCCAGCCTGGTTTGTGGGGGGGGGGTCTGGGAGGCAGAGTGTCTAGGGCTCTAACTGTGGAGAATCTGTGGGTTCCTCCTGTTCATTAAATACCACAAAGGTACAGAAGATGGGAAATCATATGCCTGCTGTACTCAGGAGTGCTTTGAAGTTTCTTTCAAGTATATGATCTAATTCTCTTCAAACCTGACAATGAATTTTTTTTTTTTCCTTTTTCCTCAGGGCGACCAGAGGCAGGTCATTCCCATACCAAGTGTATGTATATTTATCCAATTTTATTTGAACATTCATAGTATCTTGTAGCTTTGGGCCTACTAATGTAAACTTTTTTTATGTTCTTGCTTACATTAAGTTTTATCATATGATATAAACAGCTCTGTTCTGTTAGGAAGAAAAACGAAGCTACATTTTAAACTGTGAACAGGAAGTTCTGTATGGAGAGAGTTCCCTTCTTCCGGAACAGCAGGAGTAACCAACATCTATCAACCCAATCCTCACTTTCCTTTCTCTCTGTGAAGGTCCTCCAAGTCTGAATACACTAAGGCAGCTTGCCAACCCCAGCACCTTAGCCCCAGCTCCAAAGACTGGGAAAACACACTTTTGCCCAGACGTGGTTCTTCGCAGCAAGTTGTCCCAGTGGAATTGGGCTCTCACCAAGCCCATGTCCTAGGTGAACAGAACTTTTCTGGCTTGTTCAATAGTGTCAGTATCCTCGCATTGGCTCCGAGATCAGAAAATCACCCCAATATATTCCCTGAGCTTGCAGGACCCGCCCCACTCCCACAGGCTGGCTGTGCTGTGACTCTGCCTCAGGTGGGCATCCCTTGGGTCCCCCACTTCTGTCTGTAGCCCTGGAATTTGAAAGAATAGTTCAACCCCAGCACAGGCCTGGAGCACTCCTCAGACACCCCCTGACCCCACTGCTCCTTCTCTTCCTCCTGCTCTGCGGCAGAGCCGTTTGGCCTGAGGCCACTCAGCAAGAAGCAGACCAGTGACTGACTCCCAAAAGAAAGTTGCTATCGAGATGTCCATATCAAACGACCTTTCAGGCAGCCCTGTGACCTTAGAGAGGGATGTGGGTTTTAGAGGTCCATAGATCCTTTTGGAGTTCATAAGTGTGATGATTGGGTGTTCACGTTTGTTGTGAGATGTGCCTCCCACAAACCTTTTTACGACATTGGCACATTATCCGTCTGACGTGGAAAAAAAAAAAAGAGGTCCATAAATTGATATATTAATCCCTAAAGATTCTCTGATTCAGATTGTCTGATTCAAATCTGTTCTCTATTTTTCCTTGGACTTTTTCACAGGTTTTCTGGGAATATCCAAGAGACACAGCAATCCTACATTGAAAGGAGTGGATTTCATTAGTACAGGCTGACTCTACATTTGTTAATGCATGTCACTTATAAATTGCCCAAAAAGTATTTGATAATTTCATTTTTCTCAGAACTTTTAACCTTCCATTGATTAACAAGTTGCAAGGGTTTGTGGAGTGATTCTTATTGTTAGCATGGCTGGGGGTTGGGCTTTGTTGGGAAAACTGATCAAAAAGACTGATCGAGCAGCATGACTTCTTATCCAGTGTTTGAGTAGGATTCAGATCTGTCATCTGTCTTTCCTTGGACTTTTTCACATATTATCAGTCCCCAGTGGGACTGATAACCAAAGGTCTCTTTTTAGCCTTTATTACAAAGTACTTGCATAGACTGTATTTTTCCTGCAAAGGTACCTGTATTAAACAAGATGGCCTCTTTCCCCCTACCTCTGACACTTGAATAGTACTGTTCTTTTCTCAAAGTTAATTCACTGCTATCTGTAAAGTTGAGGGCTGAATCATTTGTCAGGGTAGAAACTCTACTGAGGAAAATGACCCTTTTCCCACAAATCTATCAGACTCATCCTAGAATTTCAGAATAAAATAGCCAAGGGGAAAAAAGATTCCTTGTGTAATTTAACCCAGTGCTAGATCAATAAACTGTTGACTGCTTCCTACATATGACACACTGGGCCGGGCCTCATGAATCTGTGAACTGTCTTGCAGAAAAGCAAAGCCTAGCTAAAGTAACTTGCATATTTGAATGATAACCTCCAGAAAAGCAGTTCTACTGATGGACGGGTATGATCCCCACTGCCTGCTTTCGTGCAGGAATAAACCCAAGTCCATCGGAACCCAAGTTCAGCCCTGGGATTCGAGCCCTGGAATCTCCTGCAAAACCTGCACGTACCTGTCAAGGGCGCGGGTCACAGAAATAGAGTAGCCCTGCCCTTTCAGGACCATAGGGGGACCTGGTCAGTGGTGGGAGCTCCTGAGAGCTTGGGGACTACACCACAGGACCAGAAATCCAGGGTTGTGCTGAGCCTGCAAACCAGGTTCCACAACCCCGTGAAAGCTTTTTCCAGGCCCTGACCAGGAAAGGCAGCCCTGACCTGTGGGTGCCCAGAGTAGTTCGAGCTGGCGTCACCCATCTCTGCTGCTCACCTCGCCCTTTTTACATTCTCATGTTCTGTTTATATGTGCAGCTTTGGTCTTTTGGGGTTTTTTAACTAAGCAATAATTCAAGCTCATGGTTTAAAAAAATACTTAAAGATTCAAGGAGAAAGAAAAAAATCCCCACCTTGGTCCCAACGCCCTAGAATAACCGCTTTTAATATTTGTTATATATCCTTCCGGAAATGTCCTAAATAAACACAAACATATTTACACAAATGAGAATTTTAACAAATATTTTTTTGGTTTTAACAAGACACCTTGATCATCTTTTCAAATATTAGTACATAGCATCTACCTCATTGTTTTACATGTAGTTGATAGCATTTACTTGATTTCCACTTCTGTGCTATTACTAATACTTCTCTTACAAGTATTTTTGTACAAGTTTGTGGACTTGAGTAATAGTGTCTGTGTGATCAGTTCCTAATTGTGCCAATGCTATAATAGATCAAAGGACGTATTTTACATTTTTGGTAGATTAAAGCCAAATTATCCCCCAGAAGCCTAAATCACATTTCTACCAAAAGTATATGGGATTCCCCATTCTCTTATTAAATATTTTAACCTTTGCTAATCTGAAAGTAAAGAGTGTATCGATTTATTGCTTTGATTTGTATTTCCTTATGAATGAGTGAGTGTGAACATCTTACAAGTCTATATGCCTTTCTTCTCTATTTCTTATAGATTTTTTATAGATTTTTATACTGCGTTATCTTTTTAAATTTCAAGGAAATTAGCACTTTTCCCAAATTTATGATATATCTTTTTGGCCTTGTTTATAAGGAATGCCCCCGCCCCCGGGGGGGGGGCTGTGACTACTCCTACCATCCCCACAGTCTCCCCTGAATTACACAGTATACTGCTGCTCACAGTGCAGGGGTGACTACAGCTGAGAGGGGAGAGGAGAAATGTGTTTTCTAACAGTTACGTTTCTCTGCCGTTTGCCTACGCCTTTTAATAAGCACTAGTATACTTTTTTCCACCAAACCTTATGAAGAACTTATAAGCAGAGCAACTATTAATATTCTAGTTAAAGATGGTCTAGAGTTTCCTTTGCCTCTCTCCTGCAATAGGCCCTGAGATCTCTGCACACACAGACAAAAAAATCTCATGTACCCAGAAGAGGTGAGAGTGTGTTGGGTGGATACTCTAAAAAAAGGGACTACTGAGTTAACTATTCATGGCTACCAGTTCACTTCCAAGGACAGAAAACTTAAATGAATGCCCTTCCCAAACCTTGGATGGCAAGGCTTGGTCCCTTCCTCCTCTCCCTGCACCCCCAACATGGTTTCTGCCCCTGTTCCCCACCCCATCCATCCCCCTGGCAGTACCCTCCACGTGCTTTGGACCAAGGGATTTTGTATAGAAAAGGCTTGATATAAGTGGTGTTTCTCTTGTTCTTCAGCTTTATGAGAGCCTGAGAGAAAATTTGCTTTGAGACGTTTCTTAGTTAATGATTCAAGCATCACCTGAACAGATCAATTGAAGTAACAAAGCACTATTGCAATTATATAGCGTCCTGGCACGTTTCAAGGACTCAGCTGTCCAGAAGAATTCTTACCAATAGTCTGAACAATTTGCATTAATCTAAATCCAAGCTCTCAGGGAAGCTGTGTGCATTTAGGAAACGGGCTAAAGATTAATGGAGCCCTCCTAGCCCATTGCCCCCAGCCTGGCCTTGTTCTCTGCAGCACAAATGCTAAAATCAATAGCTTGCTTAATACCCTTCTCATTCTTTTCGCTCCAAATACTAAGGGGAGGCTTTCTACTTCCTGTTAACTCAGAGAATGCTTGTAAAGTGGAGGTTAAATATGCTAAGAAAGTAATTTTTATTCTTGGGTTTGGAAAATAACAGAGCCACTTTTTGGCAGATCTTTGATGTTTTCAGATATGCTAGGGATAGACTTTGTAGATCCTTATTTTCCAGGATAGCAATTACGTAAAGTTAAAATGTTATTTTAGTGTATAAATGCATAGAGAAAGGACTGTGCAGATACACACCAAACTAAAAAGGGAGGCGCATCTGGGAAAAAGAATGGGGGTTGGTGGCGGGAGGGCATGGAAAGGGGAACAGTTGTGTTCTCATGTCTATACTCTTTACAATGAGAATGTGTTTTTATTACATAATTGTATAACAAAAAAGTTAAAACAAATTTTATTCTAGTCACAAGCATGCTTTCTGCTATCGCCTAAGCAGAAATAACGAATCTCCTCTCTATTATGTTCACTTATAGAGCTCATTATACCCTGCCTTTTTAGAGCACTTTTGATACGCAACTTCCTCTCACAAGTTTATTTTAATTTTTTTAATAACTAGCTTGCTTGCAGATTTATAATGAAGGACACAGTCCTTCCTAGGACCTTGAATCCCATGCCCTGTGTCTAAGCCACATCTCTTCTCAGTGCCTCAGGATTAGGAATAGTCCTTGGTGAGCTTTAATTAGAGCCCAGGGAGTTGGGAGGCCATAAAGACTTTTTCTTCTAGATGATGTGGGAGAAGGTGAAACACCCGCGCTCACTAGAGAGAGCCCCTCTAGAATTAGAAACACTCATGTCCCCACACGTGGCCTCATCGTGGTCAGTCCTGACAGTGCTCCCTGCCAGGGTGATCATTGCACTTGCAAATGTACCTAACCTGATGACCGCCTGTTACATTCCTATTGAATCAGCTAAAGTCCAAAATTCACTCTAGGTTTTTTACTAACATTTAGTTTAAAAAAAAAAAAAAGTGGGTGGGGGGGAGGAATAACCATTTAAAAGGAATTACCTCTTGATTTTATTTTTTCTTGTTTTATTTGATAAGCTAAACTGTCCATTCTTCGGTGGCTAAGGCCAGACCGTTTCTTGTGTTTTGTTTTGCATTAACTATTGAACAAAGCTTGACCTTCTTCAAGGGCAGAAACTTAGCTAGTTGCCATTGGGCACCGAATAGGCCCCAAAGTAAATAAAAACACTTAAATCATTTCTAGAATGAGGCAAGGCCCAAAGAAATAAATTCTGTAAATCAAGAGTGAGGTTGTCTGAAGATACCTAGCATTTTATTAGCTCTTTAGGACCTCTTTATCACAAGATTAGCGTCAGCTACTACAAAGACATATAAATAGATTTCCTGGTTAACACACAGCATGGGGATTAAAGTATAATCTCCAGAGACAGAAGACAGAGGTAAAAATGCCACATTCACTCACTATTATACCACAGTGGGGCGGGCACAAGGCAGGGCCCTGGGCCAGTTTTACTTCTGTTTCCTATTATTGGAGGTCAGTTTGGATTGCATTTTGCTGGAGGGTCTACAGTTTCTCTTCAAGTTTTTGAAAACGTCAGTCGCTTGAAAAAAATACTGTGTTTTCAGTTTAGCTCTGAAATATATTTATGTACCACAGTTAACTTCCGACAAAATATGATCCCAAGAAAGGGGCCTGCATAGTGAGAGTAGCTAGTATAATTAAACATTCATTTTTGTGTAGTCCATTTTAATAATAACATAGCCCTATATGTGCCAGGCAGAATGGGGGGGGGAGCATTTATTGCAATTACAGCTAACAACTCTTCACAGTAGGCATTAGTTATCCCAGCTAATAGACAAGAAAGAGACAGAGCTGATATTCCAACCCAAGTTTGTCTGGTTTTAAAGCCTAGGCCCGGGCTGTCCAAGTGGCTCAGTTGGTTAAGAGCTCGGTCAAGAGCACGAGCTCTGAGCAACAGGATCGCCGGTTCAATTCCCAGACCGAGCTGAGCTGCCGCTGAGCTGCCAACAAGTGGCAGGATGGCTCAGCTTAAAAAAAAATAATAAAATAAAATCCTAGGCCCTCATAACAGCCATTCAGACAGTGGCACGGGATTTGGTAAAATTTCAGTTGCAAGCTACTTATTTCTATGAATTTTAATAAAATTCCATGATGTGCTTGACCAAGCATGTAAATGTTTGGTTTCATTTTTAACCTTGTTGACATAGTATAATACAATAATAAGAGGATTGGTTTGTCCTTCACATCAAGGTAATAATGATTTTTTTTTCTTTAGCCACCAGCTAAATACCTCCTTCCCGAGGTGACGGTGCTTGACTATGGAAAGAAATGTGTGGTCATTGATTTAGATGAAACATTGGTGCACAGTTCATTTAAGGTAAGTCAGCATGACCTCTGTGATTATGGTCCCAGGGATTTGTGATTCGGTCACAGTCATAGTGGAAAACGGTGAACGCATGTGGTCGTTAGTGTATGACTTCACTGTTGGTGAAGAAATCCCAGTAACAGGTGCTTATTAACTCAGGTGAACGTTAACTCCGGTAGTTGAATATTAACATAATTCGCTTGAGGGGAAAAGCACCAGGCTGCCAGTGTCATGGAAACCTCATTCTTTCTTATGAGACTTGACGATTCCAGCACTTTAACCCCTGCAGAAATACTTCTCAGGCGGCACAAGGCAACCAGTGCACCAGTGCCCAGGACACTACTGTGTATTTGTCAAGGTAACCGGAGCACCATATGCTTATTAGGAGGGGCATGGGAGGCACTGCCGAAACAACCTGCTCTCCTGGACATTTTCCCAGACTAGTTTTTGAAAGATGTTCAGTACTGAAGACAACTTCCTCAGTTACAGGCATTTGAAACAGATTCAGCTGTTTAGTTGGACCATTTTCATGACAACAACCATGGAGACTTTATAAACTTTCTAGCTAAGTGAGTGTCTACCTGTGTGACTTCCCTCCTGAAGGGTACGGGGCTGCAGTGATATCTAAGTGAGCGCCAGACAGTCTTCTGTCACCTTCCTCACACTTCATCTCCCATCACCAGAAGAACAGCAAAAATTACAAATTTCTAAAGGGCCTCCATGTGGGAATAGCTGTGGCAACACCATTAAGAAATGAGTTAATGGGCCGGCGGAGTGGTGCGTTGGTTAAGAGCTGGCTTGGGACACCAGAGGGCCCCGGTTCGGATCCCACATATAAGGGCCAGTGACACTGCCCTCTACAGCTAAGATATTGAATGACAGCTCAACCTGGAGCTGGGCTGCTGTGAGGCGACGGCGACGGCGTAGGCTGCAGCCCCTGCTGCAGTGGGTTGCCATGGGCTACTGTGTGTAGCCAGCAGCCAGCGTGAGTGGCCATCCAGAAGCTGGTAACTGATCTGCCTCGCCCGGGAAGAGCGCAATGATGGTGCCAACTTGGGCCAGTAAAGCAATGTCCTCCACAACTAGACTGAAGAACAAAAGGACAGCAACTTGTCTGTTCCCATTCCCCCAATTCCCCAATTTAAAAAAAAAAAAGAAAGAAAGAAAGAAATGAGTTAAATAAAAAATAAGAAAAAAGAAAAAGAAAAAAAAAAGAAATGAGTTAATTAACCATTTTCCATTTTTTTGAAATGGAATAAATTGCTTAAAAGAGGCAAATGATGGGGGCTGGCCAAGTGGCTCAGTTGGTTAAGAGCGCGAGCTCTGAGCTACAGGGTCGCCGGTTTGATTCCCACATGGGCCAGTGAGCTGCACTCGAGCTGAGCTGCCGCTGAGCTGCCTACAGGTGGCAGGATGGCTCAGCTGGTGAGAGCACGTGCGCCTAACAACAAGGTTGCCAGTTTGATTCCCACCCAGGATGGTGGGCTATGCCCACCCGCAACTAAGATTGAACACGGTACCTTGAGCTGAGCGGCTGTGAGCTGCTGATGGGCGGCCAGATGGTGGCTGGACTTAGAGCTGAGCTAGCTGCGCCCTCCACAACTAAGATTGAAGGACAACAATTTGGCTGTTCCCCTTCTCCAATTCCTCAACACTGTTCCCCTCCCCCAAATCCCCAATAAAATCTTAAAAAAAAAAAAAAAGAAGCAAATGATGGAAAGGTTTGGAAAGAGGGGATCAGTGTGCTGGAGAGAAGAAGCAGGTCCTAACCCTGAATCCTGTTTGCCTTAGGACAGTTCTCGCGATGGAACTGCTGTACTGTCACTGGCCAATTAGACCTCATTTCTCTTCATACCCTCAGCCCAGGACTCCCCTTGCCATCCATGATGGGACATGTGTCTCACGTGAACCATAGTCAACCCTTGATGGTTGTATGGGGACTGGAAGAGCCATCAGGTTTGCCTGAAGACCTGAGTGTCAGAGACAGCCTTCCTTGTGCCTGCTTCTCACTTAACAGAGGCCTTCCTTGATGGGACAAGGCTAGACGGTTGTCTTGGAGTCCTTTGGGAGAATGGAGGAGAGGCCACACGTACCTCTAGCAGTGAGAAGTAGCCTGTCTGGCCCCGGGGGCACGTTAAGTCCCGCCTCATGCCCCAGTACCTCGAGGGCCCTTCCAGGATTGGTCCAGGGGCTGCAGTGGCCTTATGTCCCAGCTCAGCTATGAACAGCGTTGGAAGAAGCCTTTCTTACCCTGTCAGCAATTTGCTCAGGACTTTTTCAAGTCCCTCTGGAGGGAAGCCCGTTAGAGCGGGGGTCAGTTGCCTTCACAGCAGCAACAGCTTCTCCGCAAGCAGCTCCAGGAGTGTGGGTAGTGCTGACCAGACCACCCAAGGTTCCTGGGGATTCCTGGCTCCGAAGGCAGGGCCTTGGCAGCCTCTGGTGTCTCCAGGGCCTGCTCACAGGGCACTGATGGGACAAGCTGATGGGAGGAGCATCTCCTCATTTCTTCTCTCCCTGGCCTGCCTACATTGGCAAGCGGAATGTTCTTTATTGTATGGTTTTTAATGTTCTGGGAGTTCCAAAGCCCTTTGAGAATCTAAAATCTAAGACTCTCTCCTTGAAAATGTACACCACACAGGCTCCTGGAACCCTTGTTAAGAACCCTGGTTCCTGCATGCGTGGTCTCCTTGGCACTGACACGTGACAGGAGATCAGGGACAGCTGCTTGTTGTGAGCTGGGGAAGGGCCTTTCTCTTCTCATGTCCTCTGTGGAATATGATTTCACAATCGAATGCCTTGTGAGAGTTTCCCCCTTAAGTCGTTCCTTTTGTTTTTTTAGCATGATTCTGCATTTTAGTTGTGAACTTACAAAACACTGAACTTGTCCTTGGCTTACCAACCATAGAAGTGAATAAACTAAGTTATATTGAGCCTCAGGTCTTCTATTGAGCACTTGGTAATGGTCCTATGATCTAGTATTTTTCACATTTTTCAGTTTGCCTATCAAAGAAGAATGTGCATTTGTACAGTGATGGGCTTAAAGGCAAACCCCAGTTCAGAGTCTGAACAGAGACTGTACCCAACACCCCTGCCCAGTGGCCACCACACACGTTCTCCTTCTTCCAGCTCTCCCCTGTTGTGCCAGGCGTCTGCACCCTGATGATTCTCTTGGGTATGTTCACTGGGTAGTTTTCTAATTTGTGGAATTCCATTTAGAGCTCTGTGTGAGTCCATCACTGAGAACATGGTGCTAAAGAATCATATTTGAATTTTAAATGTCATTAATACTGTCAGCATTATTTTAAATATCCAGCAGATTTGGGGTGTGCTGGGTATTGCGTTCCTTTGAGCAGAGCAGTCTAGGGTGACCTGAAATCACTTAATGCTCAGAACTGTGTGGAGCCCTTCACGGACCCGCGCGAGACCTGTTACTGTGGCCACGGACGACAGGAAATGGGAAGAGCCTGCCCGAGGTGGTAGGTCTGCGGCCTCCGACTTCACCCTACAACTCCTGGGCGCTGCTTTATGTCCATACAAGGAGCATCTCCTGCTGATCAGCCCATCCCAGGGCCGCCCGCACTTGTGGGCTGGTTCAGTATAAATTCTCCGCCCCAAGTAGCACTGTCCTCTGGGACCACTGGGCTCTCACCTCCTGTCTTTGGTGGCCAGCATGGCTCCCCATCATCCCGGCAGGACTTCAGGCACGAGCTGGAGTTTCTGACGAGCCCCATTTCCTAGCCAGGCTCCCGACCCTTTGTGACTGAGGTGAGGCAGGTGATAAAGAGGTTGGACCAAAATGCTGAAAAGGGAACGATATTCAGAACAGAAAATAATGTGCTTTCCTGCTTGTGCTTCTTTTAAGGAACCAAGGCATGCTTCAGCCTCCTTCTCCTGAAATAAAAACATGGCTACAAGCAACATTTTTTTCTTGCCAACCTTTCCAATTTTATTTCATTCTTTCAGACATATTAATTATAGTTTCTTTTCTCTCTAGCCTATTAGTAATGCTGATTTTATTGTTCCGGTTGAAATCGATGGAACTATACATCAGGTAAGAAATCAAAGCTAAATCTGAGTTTCAATTAGCATTTATTTTTTTTTTTAGTAATTACATTTCTTATGAACTTTATTTCTGAATTCCCATTTCAGTAATAATCATATTCGTGAATCAAAAGGAAGCAAACTGTAAAATAAATATAATTGTTTTCTGCTTTTTTCACTCAGATGGATTTATTTTTATGCTGAGTTTACAAGGGAAACTGTAGCCTATTTGTAAATATTAGATGTGGTTGCAAGTTCAAATAGTTCTTTGATTTGATGCAGACTTTTAGAAATTTCCATATCCCCCATCGGCCTAGCTTGATGGTCTAATTAACTTCCTCATGTAATTGCTTTTGGCTACTCTCCTAGCAGGCAACAGGAAAATGCGACAGGGTACCCACTTATGGTGGATTTTCAGGAAAAGGTGCCATTTCCAATGCCAGCCACTCCGGCCTGATCTTGTCTGTCCTGCATCATGTTCTCCAGTGACTCTTTAGCCAAAATGCAAACGAAAGAGAAAGGGAGAAGGGTGTGAGTGTTTGGATAGCAGGCAGCTTGGAGTAAAGATACCCTAATCAGTTGGTATGCCTCTTTGTTCTGATATTTTTTCCCCTTATCTGCATGAAGTTCCTCCGGAAATAGCTTCATTTATGAACATATTGGAAACACTGGAGGCAGAAGAGTTGAGGAGGCTTTGGTCAGTTTTCCACACAGATGACCTGACCATCTTGCTGTCAACCCCACTGTCTTAAAGCGAGAGTCTCTGGACTGATGTGTGCATATCCCAGGAAGGGAAATCTCTCCTGGTGCTTGAGCCATAGCAGGATGTGCCTCCTTAGTTATGTCCGTAGTCTCCTTGGCCCTTGAGTGTCAGGTGTCAGAACTGGCAAGGCCTCGGAAACCAGCCACCTCCTTGTCCAGGTGGGGAAACTGAGACTCAGCCAGAGAAAGCGTTGGCTCAAGGTCCTACAATATGAAGCATTACAATGAGACTCCCCGTCTCCTGCCCCCCTGCCCAAGGCTCTTTTCCTGATACCCCAGTCCTGCCCCTCCCCTGCCAGGAAGCCGTTCCTGGGAAAGGCAGCCTTGGCCCTGGTATCTCCACACTTTGTGCTTTTAAAAATCATTAGGGAGCCAAAACAGCAGGCACTTGGGCATTTAACATTTGCAAAAGCATCAACTGAATTAACTCGGTATCCGTGAAGCAGTTAAGGCTTCTGCGTTTATTATCTCGGCTCATGTTACAAAGTAATGAGACAGAGGAGAGGCTGCCCATTGGCATGGCAAGAATTAGGAGAGAAATTAATGCCTCATGACTATGAGCATGACCCTCGGGGCCTGACCTGCTATGACCAGACCATTCTCGAAGGAGCCAACCTAGCCCCCTGCGCCCCCTCCCCCCAGCCTCCCTCCAGACTGTGCTGTGATTCACTTGGCGATAGATGCCCCAGGGCACCAGGTCTGGGATCAAACACTCTCTCCTGAGGGACTGAAGCCACAGGCGCGAAGAGGAGGACCAAGGCCCTGGCGAAGGCCGTGGCCTCGTTCAAGTAATCCAGGATAGGCTGTGCAGGTCCCAATGGGCCTATTCTTGGTTACTTGCACGGGGACGCGGGCCTGGACGCCGGCATCCGGGCCCAGGACCTTCCTCTCTGCCAGAGGCACCAACACCAGAGTTTCCAAATCAGTCTCCTGCCCTGTGTGTGTTGCAAAGCTTGCTTTCCAAGCAGTATTCCCAGGGTTACCGAGGACCGCAGGCCACACCCCCTCCCTGGTGCTCAGTCTCACGGGCAAAGTGGGCACCGAGAGGTACTGCAGCCCAGGCCCTGCCCTCAGCCCCCACCCCGGCCTCCCAGCTCCTCAGAGCCCTGTTGGCACCCACCCCAGGCCATTCTGCTCCCCTGCCCCTCGCTGCACCCTCAGGCACAGGCCCCTGCTCACCCCACTCCCAGTAGGCCGCACATTTCCCAGCAAGTCCTGGCTCTGTGTAGAATTCCTTTGCCAGCAGCACATCGTCTGTGTGATACAGAACCCCCTTTTTCTCCTCTATTACCCCTCCTGTAGGATATCCAACCTGTTCCATCTGCCATTCATGGCCCCGCGCATACTACCCCAGCCTGCCTTTCACACTTCCTCTTCAGCCGCTTCTCCTGTCCCCCATCTTTCCTCTCTTATCGCTGCCTCTGAAGGGCTGGTCATGCAGGGCTCTGGCCGTTCTCTAACACCCCAGGTGTTTTCAGCCAGAAGTTATGCTGACGCTGTTTCCTCTGCCTGGAAGCTCACTTATCCTTAGCGGCCTGGCAAGCTCCTATTCATCCTTCAAGGCCCAGGCCAAATGTTACCTTCTGTGATTCCCTCCCCTTGAGAGGGAAATTAATTGTCCTTAATTTATGCTTCTACTGTAGCTTCCGTTATGCATGTTGATTTTGATATATTTTTGTGTATGTCTGCTCTAGACTGTGAGCCCTTTAAGGGCAAGGCCTGTGTTGTATTCGTCTTTGTAACTGCTTCAGGCTAAGCACAGAGATGCGGCTCAGTGAATCCAAATTGGATTGAATGTTAACAAGCTTGATTTATTTTAGGGTAGTGGCTAATTTCACATGGGATTTGTTCAAGTTTTAATTAGTTTTTCCCTCCACCTACCTCCTCTATCTTTGTTCACTGGCTTTGCCTTCTTTCCCATCTCCGTGCTTTCCTAAGATGTGTTTGGGCTCCCTAGCCATGAGCACAGAGCCAAGCCACTCTAGGAAGGTCGGTCTACTCTTTGCCCCTTTCTGTTTGGAGGACCCTCCTGAGGGCTCATTTCTGGCACCTTGGATGTGAGCACCTTGGCTCACATCCCCTGCAGTATCCGTTTCTGTACCAAGCCTAAGCAGAGTCACCTTTGTGGTACCCAGTGGACGGCTTCCCAAGCTGACAACGAAAGCCCTCCTTGCAGCTTTGCTGGGCCTGCGCGTCCTCCCCAGGCACTCCCAGCAAGGGAGGTGTAGTCAGAGTGGAAAGGGGCAGCAGAGCAATCCCAGACCTGCCAGGCCAGGCCTGTGCCTCCAGAAAGACACCCCCCACCCCCGCAGACCATGGCCTGTGTCCACAGAGGGTCTGACCCAGAGCATGTGCCTAGAAACACGTGTGAAATGAATGAGCTGTTTCTCGCAAACAGGGCACAACCCTCCCACTCACTGGCTCTGAAAACCCCCAAGACTCAGTACCATGGTCAGCTTCCCTTTCTCCCTTGGGAGGAGCATCCGTACGGAACTCAGACCTGGAGCCCAATCTGAAGAGTATATCTAGCCTCAAGCGCCACATTTGACTACATAGCTCCTCATACAGTCTGGGTCTTCATACCACACACAGACCCCGGGAACCGGAGGCAGGAACCTTTCAGGAACCCTTCCCACACTGGTGTTTGGACCCCCGGCCATCCCCAGCAGCTCCTATGACTGACCAGCTTACTGTTTCCTGCCTTTGCAGGTGTATGTGCTGAAGCGGCCACATGTGGACGAGTTCCTCCAGAGGATGGGACAGCTCTTTGAGTGTGTGCTCTTTACTGCCAGCTTGGCCAAGGTGAGTCCTGCTCCCAGCCTCTCCACCCCTACCCCCTATCTGCCAAATAGCCCTTTGTTAAGGTTGGGGAAGCTGTTTCTATGGTGACACATTCCCACCCCAGATGGGATGGATGCAGGCCATGTGCACAGCACCAGCCTGAGAGGCTTCTGCGTTACCATGGTGACAGGGAGCACTTGGAACAAATGCTCCATGAAGTTGCTGCATGCAGCCCCCTGAAGCTGGTTGTCCATAGAGCAAGAAATCACAAACGTGTCCAGCGTAACTGAGAAAGGGGTGTCTGCATCTCATCTGTTCACTGGTGACTAAATGCTAGAGGCTCAGGCCTCTGTGCCCTGGGGTTAGCTTACACAGGTTTGGAGGAGAGGTGAGTGTCAGAGAGTCACCCACGAGCACGGGCCGAACGACTGCCCTAATGAGCCCTGTGACCTCAGGCAAGTTACTTCACTTCTCTTGCCTCGGTTTCTTCTATAAATTGGGGATAACTTCATCTACCTTGTGGGGCGGATCCAAAGAAGTCATGCATGTCAAGGGCTTACCGCAGTGCCTCACTTATATTCAGCAAGTATTCACGATGCACCTGCTGTGTTCCGTATGCTTTGCTGGGCACTGTCACGTGGTAAGCTCCCGGTGTTTGCTGTTTATTATCATAATCATTCATGATAAAATAATTCACACACACGTTGGTCCTATAGCTTGGTACGAATCTCTGACCCAGTCTACACTGGCTCTGACCAAATACAGTGGTTCCTTTGCCCTGTCCAACTGTTGGAGGGAATTATCGGGTTCACAGGACCCCCAATGTGGTTTCGTCTCTCCTTTCGCAAGTGTGCTGCGGGGCCTGCTCTGTGTAGGGCAGACAGGCAGGCCCCCGCTCCTCAGAAGAGATCCATGCCATGACCATCTCAAACCTTGACTCTGATGGGGCCAACACCAGCCATTTGTTGGTGGCACCATCAGTGTCTCCATGGGCGCCTCAGGACCCTGAGTGGCCCCAAAGGTGAGCTTTGTGAGGCCCAAGTTAGCCACCTGCCTGTCACAGACCTGCTCCAAGGACTCAATGCAGCCCCCTCTCCCATATCTCTGCCGGCTCCCTTCGCCTCTGCACGTCGGGGACCCCGACTCCGGACTCCCAGACATCCTGCTTTGTCAGCCTGGGCATTCCCGGTTCGGGCCATCTCTCTGCCATGGCCGAAGTGAGAGAGAACCCCACCTGTACAACATTCTGCCGGGCTCATTGCCGGGCCTTGAAGCATGAGCCGATAGAGAAGGACTGCAAAACCTGGGCCTGACTCTTGCATGCGAAAAGGAGAACATGGCCTCAGGGAAGACATCATCTTCCCCAGTGGGTGCTCTGTCAGAAGAATGGCACCAAGACTAATTGTATTATAGTGTCAATGGCTCTGCTGACCGTGCTCTGGGGTGCCGAGAAGCCTGAAGTGATAACTAAAGAAATAGTAAACAGGAAGATGGCACCGGTAGTCAGTGGATTGAGAGTTGTTATTTCTTTGGCAAAATTGAAAACACTCTTCCTTGGCATTGTCCCCAGCACCCACTTAAACATCCTTGTTTCCTCTCTTTTCCTGGACTGCTCCCACCTGCCCCTCCGTCTGTCTCTCCAACCCTTCTCTCACTGCTGCTCCGGCCTGGCTCACCAAATCAGCTCCCCAGTGCAGCCTTCCAGCCTGTTTCCTCCCTGATGCACAAGTTCTGCGGACAGGTGGGCACTCCGCAGGCCTTGGCTCTGGGCTCAGCTCCCAGCCAGCACCATCGGGACAGCGGACCTCCTGGCCCACCGCCCAAGGGCCAGCAGGAACCCTAAGCTGACTGCCAGAGCCCTTCAATATATGCATCCTCATTGTGGTTTCCTGTATTCACTCAGTCACCCAGCACATATTTACCTAGCACCTGCTGTATATCAAGCATTGTACTAGGCACTGGGGATACAGGAGAGAACAAAAGAAACAAAGTCCCTGCCCTCATGAAGCTTACGTTCCCCACATTCGTCTCCAAGGCCTGGAGCTCCTAGACTTAGAACTCCCTTGAAAGAGATATGCCACCGCCGGTATTAATGGTTATAAGGAAATTAATCATCCTTTCCATCTATTGGGTTGTCGGAAAAGTCATGACGTATTTTTTCTATATTTTTTGTTGCAAAAATGCGTCATGACTTTCCCGACAACCCAAAAGAACCAGGCCCTTCTAACCCACGCATGTGGCACTAGGCTACCCTCACCAGCAGAAACCTACAGTACCCTGAGCTCCCACCCTACGTGGTCAACAGGAAATACAGTCTGCTCCTAGACTCTGCCTCCCTCCGGATGTCTCTGGAGAGAGGAGGACTTTGCCCTGGCATCGCAGCTGCTGCTGTAGCCCTGCTGGCATTTGCTCTGCCCTCAGGGGCTGCTGTGCATTCCACTGCCTGTCTTCCCACCAGCACCTGCCTCGGCTGCTTCCTGCCTCCCAGACAGAGTCACTGGGCACCTGGTGACACCTCCCTTTTGTCTTGGTGCTGAGGCCTGGCCTCCCATCGGGCTTCGAGCTGCCACTCCTTTGCCTCCAGCTCGAGCCACTCAGTCTGACCCAGTCTTTAAGACATCTTCATTTATGAAGATTTTCCCTCAGGGATGACCCCTTTATTTCTGTATCCAGTTCAGCCTGCTTTAGGGAAAATTCTCCAGGCCATGAGAGAGGGCCAAGCAGGATGAACCCCAAAAGTAAGCTGGGCACAAGCTCCCTCCCATAAACTCTAAATAAATGGAAGTGAGTGTCAGCTCCATCCTGAGATGGTCAGGAATGGGTCTTGCCCAGTTGCTCGGAGCACCTCTAGGGGGCAGTGTGACCACATGCCACAGGAGCCGAATGCTAAGTCAGCTCGTTGGTTCACTGATGAAACTAGTATTTGCAGAGCCCCTACCATGAGGCAGGCCTTCTGCGAGGTGCTGGGGATGTCATGGTGAATAGGACAGGCCAGGCCTGGGCCCTGACAGTGAAGAGGAAATAAAGTCGCCCCACATGGTGATAAACTGTGAAGGAAATTACTGTGAGGCGATAGAGCAGTATCCAGAAAGAAAGATGCAGGACTCTAGGTGGGCAGTAAAGGAAGCCAAGGCCTGAAAAACGACACAGGAGAGGTTCATGCAAAGAGCTGGGAAGAGACTGTTCCGTGCAGAGGGAACAGTGGTACAGAGGTTCTGACCACGTTCAAAGCCAGTGTGGCTCCAGTGATTCGAGATGGAGCCGGGAGGTCACAGAAATCATGCAGCTGCAGCCATACAGGCTATGGGGCGAGGGGTGTGGGCTGGAAAGGAGGCCCAAAGGGAAAGGGGAGCTCTGGAGGCTCACACAGCCCCCCCAGGCCAGAGATTAGAGGCCTGGATGGGGTGCTGGCATTATAAATATGGAGAGGCGGGTGGATTCAGGATATTTTTGGAGATGGAACTGACAGGAATTTCTGATGGATTGGATATGAGAAGTGAGGGAATGGAAGAATCCAGGGTGTCTTGCACCCACGGAGAGGAAAGTAGCCAGGATCCTGAGATTTCCGAGGATTTAAATCCCCTTTTAGGAAAGTAAGCTGCGCCTTGCTGCCGCAGGTCAGGGTTTCTGGGCTCTTTCCAGCACCCCGCCTTCATTGCCACCCCTGCTTTCCAGTACGCAGACCCTGTGGCTGACCTGCTAGACCGCTGGGGCGTGTTCCGGGCACGGCTCTTCAGAGAATCGTGTGTTTTCCATCGTGGGAACTACGTGAAAGACCTGAGTCGCCTTGGACGGGAGCTGAGCAAAGTGATCATCGTGGACAATTCTCCTGCCTCGTACATCTTCCACCCTGAGAATGCAGTAAGTAGCTCCAGAGAAAACCAGGGCGCCCTCTGAGCTCTGTCTTACTGGGCAGGTTCCACTCTGGAAGCTTCCAGCACCCGTGCAAAGTTTCTTGGCCTCTCCTTGGTGAAATCGCAACTCTGCCACTTAGCAACTGCATGACCCTGACCACGTTATTTAACCTCACTGAGCCTCAGTGGCCTCATCTGTCAAATGGGGATTATAGGAATGCTGATGTCAGAGGATTGTTGGAGTCGGTACGGCAGTACTGAAAAGCACGCAGGACAGTGCTTGTGATGGGTAAGTGCTCAGTGAGTCTGTGTCACCCTCTTAGCAATTTAGATATTATCGCTGAGAAGGCGTCTGCCTGTCATGAACCTCCTAGAGCTGGCTGCTTCCTGGACTTCATGACCCCTGTAGACTCAGAAGGCCTAGGGGACCTCTTCAACAGAAGTGTTTCTTAAAAATGAATGAAACACTTCAATAAGGTCCTCACATAAGGCTGCCAGGCTTTACCACCTCATAGTGATGTTTTAAAAGTATATAATGGGGGGCCGGCCGAGTGGCGCGATGGTTAAGAACTCGCTTGGGATGCCAGAGGGCCCCGGTTCGGATCCCACATATGAGGGCCAGTGACACT